CAAAAAACGAAAATTTCGAAGAATTTGAAGGGGTACCCCTTGGAAAAATCTCGGAAAAATCAAAAAATTTTTTTTTGTCAAAATATCGAAAAATATCGACATATATTCTAAAAAGCGTAAAAAATATAGCCTATACATCTTTAATGAATGCACACAGTTCCAGAGGCAGAATAATTTTCAGAATAAAGTGAAACAATTTGGGTGTAATGAATGTTGTAAGAACAGAATGCCAATATTGATGGCACCCAGTATTCCTTATTTTCTCAGAACGTTGTTTGGCTGATTAAATGTGGAACACTGGTGTTGATAATAAATGATTGAGAATGACTGAAACGCTGTTCGAGGATGAACGGATACGTAGATAAACAAAATATCTTGACCGATGAAGAAAAAGTAGTTGTACGAGCGATTAGAAGAGTTTGGACATGTGAGACGCACGTTTTTAATCAGCAGCAGACGTCACTAATCCACATCGAACCGAGTGGCAAATAAAACTTATCTATGATTGAATCGTACTAAATCAGAATCAGATTGACGTTCGATCTTCAGAAAAGATCGCCGTCCATTTAATGACGTATTTACGCGTATCAATCGTAATTTCCCGAGATTATATCTGCACTGTATACTTATGTATTGGGGGACTCGGGGAATGCCGCGAAACGAAACGTGAAAAATACACGATCAATTGAAATTGATTAGTTGTAGTGCGTATTATAAAAATTATCTGTGACGGAATCGAAAATTTTATATCGTCGATGAAAACGATAATGTCTACATTTATTGTTCAGGCACAAAGTTGTTGAAGTTCGAAGCTGGAGCGTCTGTATTAAATATGAATACATGCGCAAGACGAGAAGATTGTTAATGTAACGCACTGAATTGAAATACCTTTGGGTTTGGATGTCGGTATCTGCATCCGCTCCGAGATGGAGATGATAGAAACTCTTTTCCCATGTGCGTGGGTCATGTTCTCGATGAATATGTTCGCAAACGTGCACGAGGTTCGCCAGGTAGAGTCGAGTCACGTCACTGTTACGAAGTAAATCGCAAAAAAGACACTACGATCCATCAATCGGCCGATCGTGGTTTTATAGTCCATCACCGAAAAGGGTTTCTCCCACTCTCATTATTCGAGCTGCACGCTCTGCATGCGTACACATAACAGTCGCATTATCACTTCATTTTCCTCCCTTATCTAACATGAAACACAGATATAGTACAGTTGCAGCAGCAGTAGCAACGATTACTTTGTAATATATTAGTATAAGTGAACTAAACGCAAAGCCTCGTAACGAGAATCGCAAAATCTATAAATGATCAATTATCAGTCTCCCGTGTTTTAAATGCTGTTTTTATCTTCCGTTTCTATTACCAATCACGTCCTTTTGAAACTTAAGCAACCAATAGTACAGGCAGAAACGACTATGCGAGATTGAGGCAATTCAGAATTGATGCATCGATCAAGTAGATAGAAATCGATGAGGCTTCGTATCCTGCGATTACACAGTTTTCAGATGTAACGTTTGATACCTGTGATAAGAAATCAATTTAACGAATATCAGCGAATGGACCGAGAGCGATCTCACATCGTTTAATAATATTAATGATACTCGTATTCAGTTTATCATCGTTTGCACTTTAGACAAAACAACGATTTTTTTAGTGATAATTAAACTCCGCGTCGCAGCGTACTTGTATTATTGGTTTTCAGTACGTGAATCAATTTTTCATAGTAGTTTTCCTCAAGACAAGGATTGCTCAGTTGTTACCTTATCAGAGTTTTATCGTTGCTCCTATAATTGTATCCGTATCTTACAGAAGATTGTTCTGCATGGAAGTGCAATGAACTATCGATGTAACTGTTTTTAAACAATAAACCATACGAACAGTGCATTCATTTTTAAATAAAAGCTAATAATGTTCTTTCGTCTTCAGTAAAGCTAATAATGTTCTTTCGTCTTCAGTACATAAATGTAAACCGCAGAATTTTATGAGAATATTAATGACGAGTTTGACTCGTCATTCATTCCATTTAATTTGTATGTAAAGTTCTATTTAATTTGTATGTCCAAGGGCTAAGGGAGAGAAATTTGCTATCTGATTCAAGAATTCAATCTGTTCTTATAGTAACTCAGTAAAAAGTATGTTTCGAAATCATAAAAAAAATATACAAAGTCACAGGTTTCAATGTAAAATACAGCATTACAATCATTGTTTCTTATTGTTTCATTTTTTATTTATTTTACACAGAGTATAAAAAGTGTAACTGCTTCTGATCATTTATAGTAAGTTCGCATTTAATAAGTAAAATATCTGTTTTTGTACCTTACAATTTTTTGTTGCACATAAACATTACAGAATCTTATATACAACATTGCAAACGCTTGGGAACTCAAGTCACACTTATGTATACCTAAGTTCCCGAAAGTCTAGGAGCGTTTCGCGCAGCTTGGAAGGTAGTGGGGATCGCAGCGAACCTCCTCCACACGGTTCAGTATACACAGTAAAGTCGGTAAAGCATTGAGATGGGCAGAACGATCAAAAACTGAACTGTGCCCGCTCCTAAACTCTCGGAAACTCAGGTATACATAAATATAGATAGGATATGTATGCCAAATATTTTGTTTAATTGCGTCTAAACTTTTTCAGACGACAATTATACACGTTTCGTTGAGCTTTTCTAATTCGAAAATTTTATTTTCGTCTGTCACACGACAAAAAGAGAACCGCACGCGTTTAAAAAACGAAAAGTCATAGCCGCCGCGCATACTAATCGATTAGAAACTATAATAAATGTTAGACATGTACTATAAAGGCAGTAAACAAATCACGGAAGTACGAAGTATGCGTGTAATACATTAAAATTCATTATCCTTACGTAAGGATCCTGTCGCTACTGTAATTTAAGACTCTTCGATGTGTCTATAGAGGACAGTATCGACATAATGTATTACGACACACAGATTAAACTCTCTATTAATCGTTTCTGATAAAGACCAGGTAAATATTTCTATAGCTTGACAACGTCGCGTTTTCTTGCGTAAAAATATGTCTAATCTCATGACTACGCAAAGGAAAATACAGAAAAAGTGTTCGTTTTCATTATAGGACCTCCCTGTTCTATCTAAGCATGCTATCCTTATACTAAATTGAAATAAAAATGTCACATTAGCAGAGTCAAGCGTACAATTAAATAAAAATGTTTACAACACTCGAAAAATTATCCCAGGTTAACCTGACACGTTATTCTCTTCAATCACATAGGAACCTTATTCACGTAGGACAAGACTTAAAATCTACATATTCTTTCCTAAATCTCAGACCTGGAAACGTACGGGTCTCACAACTTGACAAAAGTTCCGAGTTCAGACTAGAATAAGCAGAAACAACGTTGTACTTTATAAGCCTGGAAACCCGTGCAGTCTTTTTACGTTAATTTTATAACTGCCATTTGTCACGCGGCAACGTGTGGAAATTCATTGAATTTCGTAAATGAAAAAATTGCAGCGCATTTTTCATTCTTTGATTATTCATTCTCTGGAGCGATCTAGGAAGTAAGGTGTTGTACTTTAAAGAAAACTGAACGTTCCTCAGTGTTCACGCCATCCTGATTTCCTTTTCACTCGTAGGGCTGTTCCATGATTGAACTTCCGCCTGACCGAAGATGATAAAAATTAAATTTCCTAGGAAATATATTGCCGCGGACACGTAGAACACTATGTTCCAATACGTCGGATCCGTCTAAAAACAAATTTATAATCTTTATAGTAAAAGTTTAACAGATTAAAAAAAAAAATCTATATAAAAATTGAAACCACTTTTCATAAGATTTAATTACTCTTACGGGTTCAATGATGCACTTACCTCCTTCTCTGTAGTTACGATTGCGCTACAGACCAACGGTGCAATGATCGCGACTACGGACGCGATGCAGTTCGTAATGGACATCATCGTGCCGGCGAAGTTCGGACTTAAATCGATGTGATTGATTTGAAATCCGCACAGAGAGCCGGCGTTCAGCCCTACGGCTACGACGAGGATCGCCACGGCCGTGGCGGAGTCGTGCACCTGCATCGCGGCGAGACAGATCAAAGCTACCGCTGGTCCCCAGTGAGCGATACTGTTGCAAACTTTTCTGGTCACGCCTCTTGAGACACCCTTATCCAGAGCGTAATCCGCGGCCCAGCACATCGGGAAACTTAGAATCCACATTGCCAAATAAGGGAGAGCTGCCATCATACCGTTCTAGAAACGAAATTAATTAGGCATTTTTATTACATTGAATCGTAATTGTAAAAGATTGGAATTCAAATTTTTGTGAAATACTTTGTTTGATAAAGTTTTATCCTTACGCGATGCTCACCTGTTCTAGATTGTATTCTAACACTTTGTCCATGTACGTGGGTAGCTCCGTAATAAGAGTCCAGTATCCCCAGTTTTGTCCGCAGTGCGCGATTATAAGTGCCCACATAGGAACCGAGGTGAAAATAGCTTTCCATGGCGTTTTCGCTTTCTTTAAAAATAGAACATAAATGAAAATTAGTATAATATAATAAATGAAAAATTCTAATATCCCACGGTTTATGTCTTCTTTCTCATAGATTGCAATAGTCTTTGTTTAAGATTGTCTATGTATTATGTATTTCGCGCTAGCATCAATAAGATTATTATAATACCGATGCAGAACAACTAGTGCAGTTGCGTCACTAAAAAGGTATTTAGATCTACAAGAGGAAAATGTATGTACGTGCAAATTCCAATGCAAATTAAACGGGAAGTCCAATCTGTTTTATCGATCATTTCTTCTAACGGTAAATTGATCGTTTCGCCGTAATATTATAATAAAAGGAAATACATGAAAAATTCCATCTTACCGGCTCGTTTGATGACTTTTCATCCGTGTCACTTTTCAAACTGTTCTCTATATACCGTCTCTCTTTCTCCGATATTCTTGTACTCTGAGAAGGACTGTCCGCACCGAAAAAGAAAAATATAATGCTCCAAAGTAGGGCACATCCGCCGAATAGGTAAAAGATTGACGGCCACCCGACGAGTGAAGCGACAAATCCAGAAATTGGGAAGCAAACAACGGTACCGAATTGTGCCCCGGCATAAGCGAACGTCCCTAGGGAATAAATAAAGAATTGATAAAGGAAACACTTTAAATTATAGTCGCGCAATGGAGATATTATATGGGGTGCTAAAGGAGGTCAACGATTTGAATTCTGAACGTGCGCGACAAATTATACATCTGCTGCACGCGTTAAGGTAGAGGTCAAGGTATCGACCGATCAAGGCTGTTCAGGAAAAATCCTTGATTGCCTCGTCTTCAAGTTGAATCAACGAAACTACAAAGCGAAATCGTGCATAACGAAGCAGAAATATATAATTTTGATAAGGCAACTGTTATATGTATATTGTAATTTCCAATTGTAATTACGTAGATACGTATATCTACATGACGTTGCACAACACTAAATTGTCGAAGTTCTTTTGCTTGACAATAATTGAAGCCAGATTAAAGAAATAAAAAAATATATTTACTAAAGATTGTTGACCGAGTTTGCGACCTCCTTACAAAATTATTCCATTTCAATATCAGTTACAAAAGCACGTTTAAGTGCACGATAATTTATTATCAATTCGTTTTATCATTTCATTCAGAACTTTTATTTCATTAATTGCAGTCATTAATGCCTGATTTTTTATAATGTAATAAGTTGATTAATATGGCCGATATTCAGAGTCGTTGCTTATTCTTAAAATCGTCTTAAGAATTTGCTATCCCTGTCTATCTCATATTTCCAGTCCTTGTCTTGTACAGGAAACAGGGACTTAAGCAAATGCTTAAGACGATCTTAAGAATAAGCAACAACTCTGAACACCGGCATAAGATTAGCAATCCTCACCTAGTCGGGCTCGTTCAGATGGGGGCGCCCATTTGGAGAGAAGGGTATGCGTGCATGGTAAAAGGCAACTCTGACAGAGGCCCATGCCCACTCTGCAAATGCAGACAGCGAAATAGCCTAATGAGGCAACCGTTGGTATCAATACGTTAAAAATTCCGCAAAGTAACATTCCGATACTGAGTAATTTTTGAGCACTCCAAACTCCTGCTATGTAACCACTCGGTATTTGCATCACCGTGTAGCCCCAGAAGAAAGAGCTCAATATCAAGTTCCTCTCTGGCGAAGTCCAATTGTAGATCTAATCGCATAAATTCAATTTAGATTTTAATGCCTGATATAAATTTATTTGTACAAATTGTTTAATCGACTACACGAATATTCATCAGTTTGGTCGTTTAAGTAATTCGAAATAATCGCACAAGCTGAAACGTGACATTTATCTGAGTACTAATGCATCGTTCGGCAATTCTATTTAAAAAAGTCATTTGTATGTCACTCATAACAGTGCCCAAGAAAATAGTTTGCGAAGGATTGTGTGATTCATGCCGTACTGTATGTATAGATGTAATACGACCATAACGTTATATAATATGCATATTTGTATGAACGGATAAAATTTCCAACATCGAAGTTGGACGCATCTGGCTCAAACGCTTTTGTGTTTTGCACATAATCTATTTGTTTAATTTCTCTACTGAAAACTAGTTGTATTTCGATATTCTTAATTAGAGCAATAATTTGTTCAGACATATTGTACATTTGTCTCCATTGTCTTTTTATATCAGAATTTGTTTTGAGATCGATTGCTTATAGAATGTATTAACAGATTTATATCTCTCTCCCTTTCGTCTCCTCCTCTGAGCAACTTTTACACACGCAAAGGTCGCGTAATTTACGTCACATGGTATGTAGGCGAGACGTTAGAGATATCTAATATGAATATAATAAGAAAGCATTGCGTTTCATTATCTAGTCATATCAAACTTCTAAATGACACAATTAAACACTTGAAATTATGTTGAGTCCGTTAAAACGTTCGATTAAAGAGCTCTTGTGTTTTAGATGTTTATCAATTTTGACATGTATTCGTTCATATAAGATAATGAAAAAATAAAACGAGAAAGTATTGAACGTGTACTAAACCGTGTGATTTCGAGAATTTCAAATATTTGAGATACTTAATGATTACTACTTAAAATCACTTTTATCGCTACGGATTTTCCAATATCTGATAGTGGTATCGACATCATTGACAAGACATTAAACTACTTATTGCCATGTGCGAGTAGAGTGAATCCGTTTCCTCTATCTAGATTTTTATGTCTCGCAATTTTTGTTCAGCCAGTGGAAAGGTATGATAAGCGTCTGTCCTTCGCGCGGTATACAAAGTAAGACAGGTTTTCTTTTTTATTATTTTTCAAGTATGAAACTGAATGATTTATTACGTGTAACAGAAACTAATTACTCGTAAATACAATCTATCCAATTTTAGACATTGCTGGAACAACAATATAAAAATCAAAAGATGTATGCAAAAAAGAGCGAGATAATCTACAATACGTCATCAAATGTGGAATTTTTTGTCGACAGAAATTAGAGATGTTCCAACTGACATTAACAATTTTAATTTTATCTTTCACAAATGCGTTTGTGCAATGTGTCATATTTCAGTCCATTATTGCATTATGTTACATAGCTGTAGTAATTGGCAATAAAAATATTTACACGAAGTGTCTGACTTTATCAGTTTCTCTTATTGGAATCATGTACAAATTTACCTCGACGTCAAGGCTTTGATGCTTGGTGCTGCTCATCGCGACGATGGCTTCCGACATGCTCACTCGAAGAGTATATCCAAAGCAAACTCCGAAGAAAAGTAGAAGAATTTGCAGGTGTCTGACACCAAGACGACCTAAAGCGCAAGAATTTTTCTTGATCAAAACAAATGCAAGAAATGGAGAAGATTTATAGGGTAATGGACATGGAAATAGGACGATCCTACAATACGAGGCTCAATTAATTTTAGATCGTTTCAAAAATAATCCCTTTCAACTTTATTATACTAAATTACAAAATCGATAGGTAACTGCCAAACGTCTTATCTCAACAAGCTAATACATATTAATACACGTTTGCTGTCCTCGAGCTATCACTTATCAGTTCTTTTATTAAAAAAAAAAAAGCACAACTAAACCGCCTTAAAATGCGTAATATTAGTACTGATATTAATAATTACATAAGTGTGTTTATTGGCATTGGCTTTGTGCTTTTTATATCTAGTTGCGTAAACAAATTAATTTTGTATAATTATTGTTCACATTTATGTCTGTAACTTCCTTCCGCGTGATAGATAGCCGAAAAATAGTATTCATCGTTGCAACACTGCACGTTCAGAATTGCGTTGCAAAAAAAAATGTAAAAATTTTACTTAACTCATTCTATTTCAATATATTCACTACAATAGTATTATAAATGTCCTGCAATAATTTACACTTAGCGATTTAAGTATTCAATAATTGACTTTCGGTATAGTTTCTTTTCAAATTATATGACGACATCTGAGAAATGCACTTATAAGAAAGTTATGAAATCACTCTGTTGAAACAAAAACAAATGCGGGAAAACAAAAGCGATAAAAATTGTACTACATCAATAAATCATTCTTGGATATCAACAATTGATCGATATCAGTTGTGTGCAATGAAATCGACGAAGAGTCGATAAATAGTTTCTCATATAGCGATCAGCAGCGGTAGTTGATTAAAAAGACGAGCGAAATTCCGAAATTAATCTAGAGATAAAGAAAATTTGTAAAAAATGCTTCGTGTTAGTACACGTGAGAATACATAAACGATAATTAAGATAATATTCTCGGAATGACGATAGGAAGATAGATTACTAACAATTTAGTACAAGAAATTACATGATTTTGCGTCTAATTAGATAGATACAACGTTATAATTAACAAATTTATTGAAAATGAAGATAAGGAAGAGGCAAGTATAAAAATATACACGAAAGGAGAAATGAAGGCAGTAAAAATTTTAAACACAGGCATGCTTCCAGTTTGAAAGTTATTTAAGTTACGTATAGATAATAAAAATTGTAATCCCTGATTGTTAACAACAGGAAAATAATGAAAGAAAGTGAAGAATTTACCTGGACTCGTTGTGGGTCCTTTGTCTTCATTCTGTGACACTTCCGCGCTCTTCATGGCTGTAATTTCCAATACTATAAAACACAGACTGTTCAAATTCTAATCTCTCATACTCGATGATACTTATATCGTACGTAGAATACCCACTCCCCGCTTGGCGGCAATGCAACCAATCCTTTTCCTTATGAATCTATCCCACTTCTTCGTAATTTTCCGACACGTTTGTTTCATTCGAATTCGATGAAAACTGAAATACTTGACGTGTTTCAACGAAAAACGAAAAACACTTAGCCGTACACATCGACATAATTACTTTTTATCAAACAGCGATCACCTCATATATATACACTATGAAAATTTAAAAGAACAATTAATGTACCGATTATTATCGAGGAATTTCACACGGGAGTAAATACTGTTATTACCTTGTAATTAAAATTACCATTTCGGTACATCCATCTGATGACCTGTGTGGGCGAGTGCCGGATATATCTAATATCTATCTCTTAATATTAAAGTTACAAACAACACTTGGAAAAAACCTTGTTTTATTAAGCATAGTATTCGGCGGGACACATCGTACAGCGAGAGTGTCGCGGCGGAAAGAGCGCTCGTACCGAAAGGATTAACGACGATGCATAATATTGTAAAGGGGCCAGCAGGGGAATAACAAGACGCAAATGTATGAGTTAACATTTATTTTACGTACGTAAAAAAGTATATCAAAATAATATTTATTTACATGCTCATTTCTAAAAATATTTTAAACGTTTTTATGTGTTTTTTTTACAAGCCAAGTGTAATGTACAAACAGATTAGTTAGTTCATACAAAAAACGGATGATTCAATTTTGGCTTTCCCAATTCATCAATGCTCTGCATCTTTTGAATGAATGAATGACACATTTGTAATCAGATATTAAATCATCTCTTTGTAGTTTCAGTGCAAGTATAATGTGTCTTATATACCGGTATGTTGTACATATATAATTATTTATTTTGAAAATTAAATTCTGTATTCTTTTATAGAATTATATACATATAACTATAAATATGGTTAGTATTGAAACACTTTAAGTTGCGTTTAATAACTATATTGCTGACTTACTTTTCAGGTTGATCGTAGAAAAGAATAGTTATAAATAGTAAATTAAAGAGTCATGTCGAATAAAATTAAATTTTTTATAGGCCACTAATTATAAATCCATCGGAGAATAATATATACTCTCCTTGTCTCCATGGTTAAAGATATTAATCAAAGTAAATATTTCATAATTTTCGTTTTTTCTTTAAATGTCTTGTATGAGTAGCTTCCTTTATGTTATTCTCCGTTACATTGTTGGGTGGTACTTTCTCTGGTGTTGGACATAATCCTAGCGGGGGCAATCTATGAATCAGAAATGGTGGCAAATTATATTTAAGTAGATTAAAATTTCAATAGATTAAAACAAGTTTTTGCTGTACTTACTGGGATAAAAGGTCTGTACTTGGATCTCGATCTTTATCAGATTGCACACTTATCGGTGTACAATTTTCTCTGGTTTGAGTTTGAGTTTGTATTCTGAATTTCTGCATCTGTGAATACTGCGACTTGGAAGTGACCTGTGACGGAGGGGCAATACCACTATTTTCATAATATTTTCCAACGTCGATCGTAACGCATTTTGTACAATTGTACGTTTTGTATATCCCAACTAGATAATCGGCAAGTTCGAACATATTAGATCGCAAAGATATAATTATGAATTGAGCATTTTTTGTCCTCTCCTTAATGTAATTGCCGACGATAGAAACATTTTTGAAATCCAACGCGGCATCTATTTCGTCCATAAAATATAAAGGAGTCGGCTTATAATGATGGAGCGCGAACACGAGCGCGAGAGAGCTCAGAGTTTTTTCACCACCGCTGAGATTGCAAATGTTTTTCCAAGATTTCTTAGGAGGTCTCACACTAAAAGCGATGCCCTCGCTGAAAGGATCCAAAGAATCGACTAATTCCAGTTCCGCGTCACCGCCTAACGTGATCATTTGATACATTTCTTTCAATTTGTCGGTGATGATAGTGAAACCAGCTAGGAATTCTTGAATTCTGCGACGTCTTGCTGTTTCGTAAATCTCTCGCATTCTATTGCGTTCGACCGTCATTTTTTCCACGTCCGCCGCACGTTGCAAATACAATGCGTCTTTTTCTTTATACTCCTCGATAACTTGCATATTCGGTACTTCCGCAGGTAATCTTTTCTTAGTTTTTTGTAAATTAGCTACAAGAGCATTTGCATCTAACATACTGAGTTCGTCCTCCGTGAAGTTCTTCAACTCCTCAGTGTTCTTACCAGGTATTACTTGAAGTTTCATGCCAGCTATTCTTTTCGTGAGTTCTGGAATCGTATGTTTTAATTCTTTCATTATGCTCTTGTGCTCTTTTAATTTCTGATCGAGATCAATCTTAATTGCTTTCAACTTATTTTCTCTGGTTTGTAAACCGTTCAGTTCTTCCTTAAATGATGACATGGCTTCATCTCTTTCTGAAAGCCCTTGCTTAAGTTCTTCCAGTAGTTTTAAATATTCTCGACCTTTTTCTTCTAATTCTTGTCTTTCTTTTTGAATATCGCGAAGTCTTTGCTCACTATTATGTATATCGTTTTCTAAGGTTTCTATTTGTCGTTCAAGTTTCTTTACATTTCTTTCAGCTGTTTTGATAGCCACTTGCAATCTACATATTTCAGCTTTACCTTTATCAATCGCTTTATTCAAACTAGCTATATGTTTTTGCTTTTCTTTTACAGAGCCGCCTGATAAATCCTCTATTTCTTTATTGATACGATTCACTTGGCTTTCAATAGCGCTCGAATTTTCGCTTACTTTTTCCAGGTTTTTCTTGGCACCGTTCATCGCTTTTTCTAACTGCTCAACTTTTCTAGGATCCGACACTGAATCCTTAGCTTTCTGTTCTTGCACCTTAATTTGAGCTAACAGCGATACCTTCTCTTCTTGTAACGCCTTCACATCGATACGTAACTTCTCTTTATTAACTTTCATATCCTTTAAACTTACATTTAAACTATGAACCTGATTTTCTAACTCTTGACCTCTGGCTCTGTATTGATTGCACTCTTCGCTGAGTTTAGACAAATCTAGTTCTAGCTTTTCGATATCCGCCGCTGATAGTTCATTTCTCACAACTTTTTGTCCCATTCTACCTCTGGATACCGTCTTGCCACCTCCGCTCATTGTGCCTGACAATTCAATTAACTCGCCTTTCAACGAAACTACCCTGAAACGTTGCTGTCCATACGCGATACGCGTTGCTTGATCCAAATCATTCGCAACCAACGTATCTTGTAATCCATAATAAAATGCCGGCAAAACTCTTTCATCTTCAACCTGTATAAGATCGAAGAGCCTTGGCACATTCTCTGGTGTTCGTATCTTTTCTTTGCATTTTGATAAAAAGCGTTGTTGTTTTTCTAACGGTATGAACGTTGCGCGTCCTATATCGTTCTGCCGAAGGAACATGATACACGCTTGCGCGGTCGCGACTGTGTCGACTACGATATTGTCCAAAGGACCACATGCTGTCGAAATTGCGACGTCGTATTTCCCATTTATAGCACCGAGATCACCTAATCTTCCAAAAACGCCAGGAATTCTGCCTTCCCTTTTCTCACGCATTAAAGTATCTACAATTCTGTTTCTTGACCTGTTCGCTTGCATAGCTGCCCTCTGTTCTTCAAACGAAATTCTCCTGTCTCTCAATTTTGAACTCATTTCAACATCTTTCGTTTTCACCGTTTGCCATTCCTGTTGCGCTTCTGCCAATTTCTGTTCAGTGTGAGGAATTTTATTTGTTAAACTTTTCAGTTCTTCCTCCCGTGCATTCAAATTGTTTGTTGTCGATTTCAACGACTGTCTTAACTTTTCTAATTTTTCTTTTTCCTTCAATTCAACTGACATGTACAGTTCTAGTTCGGATTGAGCAATATTAAACGTTGCTTGAGCTTGATCAACGTCTTTTCTTAGAGATATCAATGTCTTCTCAAGCTTCGAACGTTCATTTGCCAGTGGTTCCGTTTTTCTACTTAGGTCAGCCATCAATTTTTCTAATTCTGCTTCTTCTTTCTCTTTGCTCTTCATATGTTTCTCGACAAGCTCTTCGCACTCCTGAATATTTTTTGTACTTTTTTCAGGTACCTTAGATTGTTCTTCAAGATTAGATTTCTCCTGTAAGAAAAGTTCAATCATCAGAATTAAAAGAACGATATTAGTTTAAATATCTTATAAATAAAAGAGGAATGTTACTGTTCTTAAAGATGCAATATTAGCTTTCCGTCTTTTATTCGTTTCCACGAATTCCGCGTGAAGCGACTCATCATGTTTTCTCAGATTATCAAACTCCGTATCAATTTTATCTTTCCGTTTCTGTAAATCATTCCATGCCTTACTTCTTTCTTCCATTACTTTTCTCTTTTCCTCTTTCTCATCAGAAATCTCTTTCATTTTACTCATAAGATTGGACATATCCGTCTCTAATTCATTTACTTTACCCTCTTGTTGTGCGAGCTCTTCTGTTGTTTTATATCTATATAAAGAAGTATTATTAAAAACAATGTACAACGCAGTTTCAGCAATAATAAAATTACCTTTGATGACAATAAATTTCATGTTGCAGTTTTGTAATTGCATTTTCCACCTCTAAGTATTGGATAGCTTCCTGCATAGGTTCTTCTAAACCTTCTTTTTCTTTCTCAACCATCCTAAGGCGATTTAATCTTTCAGCTCTATATTCCGTCAGAAGGTCTACTTTTTCTGATAACTTTTCTATCGGTTCTTTGAACCGAACCGTTCCGATTATATCTTCTAGATATTCAAGCATACCAGTCTCGTTCTCATTCTGACTCTTAGGTTTCATCATTGCTATTTGTTCTACTTCCCCCTAGTGTCAAAATCATTTTTATCAGTTGAGCAATAAGGAATACTATAAAACATTAATGAACAATGTTTTACACACCTGTAAAATTAAGAAACGATTGTGAATCAAATCTACACCATGAGACCTCAAAAGTTTGGCAATCTCTTTGAACTGAACTTTCTTCTTATTCAATTCGTAATAAGATGAATTATCCTTAAATGCTGATCGCGATATAACAAATTCGCTATTTGGGACAACATCATAATCCGTACCGGGCTAAAACATAAAATGTGATGAACACCAACTCATACTATTGAATAATCTTAAGTGTACAACATACTTTATCAATAATTTGTTGGAAATGTACAGACACTGTACACTTAGTGATATTCTGATACTGTTCTGACTTGTGTATCAAAACTGATAGTTTCTTTGACCTAATCTTACTAGCTCTATATCCGAATACAAACAACATTGAATCTATTGCATTACTCTTGCCATTTCCATTCGGCCCGATAATAGCTGAGAAACACTAAACAAAGAAGATCAATATTAGTACCAATTTATCAATAACTATAATATTGCTTTTAATTATTTAACTTATACCTTGTGAAATGGGCCAATGACCTTTGTACCTCCATAACTTTTAAAATTTTCATTCACAATCTTATTGATCATTAGTCTTGGACCATTACTATTCAGTTGATTTGTTGCTGGAAGAGGTGGTGGTATATATATGTCGTCATCCACTCTTAACCCACCTTCTTCATCCATATCCAGGCCAATATCCTCTTCTTCAACTTCCATTTCCTCAACAGCATTGTTTTTAGCAACTTCGTCAGTCATTTCGTTCATATATTTTTCACTCACTAATAAAAATTATATTAAAAAGAACGTAAGTTCATGCGATATAAGAATCACTAATTAAAGGTTAGAAAACATTAATATTTAAAGTACACAAGAACAAATCGATATTCTTATAAAAAAATCTTTCATTAATACTATGTTCTATACCAAAACTATCTAAATAACTAATGGAACATAAACAAAACAGAAAAATCAATTTATAAATCTTCCCGCCTATCTGTTACATCATTTAATATAGTAAACATACTTCGGTTTTCGATATTGTCAAAAAGGAATGTATTACTTTACGAATTACACTTAAATTCACGACAATATCCATTTCACCATTATTTTACCTAGTTTCAAGGATGTTTAAGAACATCGTCGACTTTTAAATTGTAAATAAACCGCGTCCCGAATAACGTAATGAATGAACCGGCGTTGCTGGCGTTGTCCCGAATTCAAATTTGAAATCATAACGTACGCCAGCCAGACTACCAACTGCAATCTCAGTACTCATAATTTGTAATTTTATTACAAACAACAATAAGTAACAAGAAAAAAACTTGAAGAAAGTATCACAAAATATTATACAGATATTATCATCTATAGAATCACATTTTATAGTCACATAAAAATAAAAAATAAAATCTGTAGGATAACATGGTAATGACAATCGTTTTGACATAAATTTTCAACATTTAAGAATTGTAAATACACAGATATTTTATGAATGATAAAAGACCTCCGTTAGCTGCAAATCCTTTGTTTCAATGGAAGTTCGCTATCAGAATCACTGGAGTCATTAGTAGCGCCAGGCTCATCATCTGAAGAAGAATAATCTGTTTGTCTTACTTCTACATTCTGTGTTCTTTTAAGCTATAAATATTAATCAAGTTAGTAAATTTTATCAGTATGTATAAGGGAAAAACGATACTTAATCAACAGTACCTTATGCCAACTTTTAGCAAGTCTTTTAGGTGTATTATCTTTCGGAACATATTTCTCAGCAACCCCTTCAACACGTCGGATGTCGAAATCTTGATCTACTTTAGTCACGGTCTGCAATCTCTGCTGTTCTGATGTTACGTACAGATCATTTGGCTGATGGTAAGTATTATGCACTTCGTATGCCCTTTTGCTGCAAAATAAAGCGGCGCATACTGTACATTTTATTAAGTCTTCTGGAACAGCTTCTCTTTCCTCCTATTAATCATAATGATACAATGTATAAATATAGCAGATATATTAAAACTCGTTTATAATTTATATTCCTTTTTTACTTGAGTATGAGCTCGTTCCAAATGCCGTTGCAAATTAAACTTAATAACATATTCAGCTCCACACAAATGGCAGTAATATACACTGAGAGCATCGTTCATTGAATTCACTTTAATCTTATTGCTAGGCGGTGGGGTCGCTATAGGTTGAAACAAGTGCACCATTCTAAAAAGTTAATTATTCAATGAATTTTCAGGAGTATTTGCTATAATTACGTTATAAAAATGTTCTACCTTTTGTGTATAGATCGGCAATGGTAATCTAAAGCTTTTCCATTATAAAACAATACATCACAGTCTTCACACTTCTTATGCAGCTCTGTCCTTTTGCTTTCAGATGAATCATGCGATGTTTGATGATTGTCCCTATGTGTCTAATAAAAGTTGGACCAGTTAAAAAAATTAAAGATCAACTATGAAATATATAAAAATAAGAACATACTTTCAAGGGAAACTGCATTCCACAGTAGTGACAAAAAAATTTTGTTGGCGAATTAGGATGAACCTTAAATCTATGTCTTATTGTTGCAGTTACTGACTCAAATGTTTTCCCACACATATCACACTGGGTATCATTCTCTTTTTTCGTTTTCACAGCTTTGCCACGAGTATCTATCTCTTTGTTTGCATGCTTCCTAGTTATTATACACATAATTCTTAATTCTGCATATACAATTAAATTTCTAAAACATCACTTCAATCAATAAATTCTGATTCAATTCATATTTAATCTTTTCTTTTACTGGAACTGAATCACATAAAACCTAACGATGAAAACTAAATTCTACATTAAAAAAAAATATTAAAAAAATGTGCTATCCAACTTAATTGGAAAGAATGTGTTTTTCAAACGTACTAACGTTCGTTCATATATTCGATCTTATAATTATTAATATGATAATTAATTGTTATAGAAGTAAGAAGAGAATTGCAAGTAGTCGGGAAATTAGCATGAAGAATAACTCTATCGGTAATGCTGTTGAATACCATGATTACTATCAACTGCTATCAACTGTTTAGCAAAACAGTTGTATGGCGAGTCTCTTTTGAGAATAGTTGGAAGACATAATAGGTTGCGTCAATAAAAACATAATTGCTTCGTAATAAAATAGTTCACTTGGTTATGGATATTAAAAAGGAGGAATAATGTCTTTCAGTACCTAAAATGTGCCTGTAAGGCTTCCTTGGATTCTAACTCTGTGTTACACAGAACGCAATTGTGCTGTCCTTTAGCACTCATTTAGGCGCCAATTTTTATTTCAAAAGAAACATTAGAAACTGACCGGACGCCCTTGCGCCTAAAATTATAACATGAATGTTTTTCACGTTTTCTAATTCAATTCTAATGTCTATATTTTAATCGATCACAACCCGCAACGGTATAGATTTCATTATTTCCGAACCTAATCGTTTCTTTCAACATACACGCCGTTCTCAGTCGAACGTCGGGAATTTCATAGAACTCGCTGGAACTCGCGTCCGCGTAAAAAAATCAATTTTCAGCCATTTTGTCGGATAGAAACTCGCGCCATCTATCACATAATAAATCTAAGAAGAATAAAACAATCGAGACAATCAGTTTGGCCGAGTGCGCGTCAATGCGCATAATGCAAATAAGCCAATGACGTTGAATAAAAATTGTCGAACGCTATAATCAAATCTAACTATCAGAATGATTGATGTGACAAATGAATCACATAAAACCTAACGATGAAAACTAAATTCTACATTAAAAAAAAATATTAAAAAAATGTGCTATCCAACTTAATTGGAAAGAATGTGTTTTTCAAACGTACTAACGTTCGTTCATATATTCGATCTTATAATTATTAATATGATAATTAATTGTTATAGAAGTAAGAAGAGAATTGCAAGTAGTCGGGAAATTAGCATGAAGAATAACTCTATCGGTAATGCTGTTGAATACCATGATTACTATCAACTGCTATCAACTGTTTAGCAAAACAGTTGTATGGCGAGTCTCTTTTGAGAATAGTTGGAAGACATAATAGGTTGCGTCAATAAAAACATAATTGCTTCGTAATAAAATAGTTCACTTGGTTATGGATATTAAAAAGGAGGAATAATGTCTTTCAGTACCTAAAATGTGCCTGTAAGGCTTCCTTGGATTCTAACTCTGTGTTACACAGAACGCAATTGTGCTGTCCTTTAGCACTCATTTAGGCGCCAATTTTTATTTCAAAAGAAACATTAGAAACTGACCGGACGCCCTTGCGCCTAAAATTATAACATGAATGTTTTTCACGTTTTCTAATTCAATTCTAATGTCTATATTTTAATCGATCACAACCCGCAACGGTATAGATTTCATTATTTCCGAACCTAATCGTTTCTTTCAACATACACGCCGTTCTCAGTCGAACGTCGGGAATTTCATAGAACTCGCTGGAACTCGCGTCCGCGTAAAAAAATCAATTTTCAGCCATTTTGTCGGATAGAAACTCGCGCCATCTATCACATAATAAATCTAAGAAGAATAAAACAATCGAGACAATCAGTTTGGCCGAGTGCGCGTCAATGCGCATAATGCAAATAAGCCAATGACGTTGAATAAAAATTGTCGAACGCTATAATCAAATCTAACTATCAGAATGATTGATGTGACAAAGTCTGTTACGAATACGTTACACATCTCTGCCACATGTAAAAAGCATGTATTTTGTGTTATAATTTTCGAATACATATAAATCTTAA